ACCTTCCCCCGGCCTTCTCTACCCCCCAGTGTCTTGTGTCCATTGGTTATGCTTATATGCATGCATACAAGTCCCTCAGTTGATCTCCTACTCCCCCTCCCCCACAACCCTCCTTAGGCTTCCCACTGTAGTTTGACAGTCTGCTCAATGCTGCTCTGCCTCTGTATCCATTTTTGTTCATCAGTCTATAATGGTCCTTATTATCCATAAATGAGTGAGTTCATGCGGTATTTTTCTCAGCTTCCCAGGGACTGTCTCAGTCTCACAGGGGCCGTCCCAGCCTCACTGGGACCGTCTCGGCCTCACCAGGGCCGATTCAACCTCACCGGGGCCGTCTCAGCCTCACTGGGGCCATCGCAGCCTCACTGGGGCTGTCTCGGTCTCACTGGGGCCGTCCCGACCTCATGGGGGCTGTCTCAGCCTCATGGGGGCCGTCTCAGCAACACGAAGTTTGGCATTCTGTCCTTTGTTGGGCAGCTCCTTGCTAGACAAAATCTCCAGGCATGCCTGGTGGCTGAATATCTGGTATGCTTGTTTGGATTTCGTTTTCTACCAAGTGCACAGACTGCCTGTCTGCCGTCTCCCAGCGTCCCATGTGAGACTGGATCTGGTGGACCTGCCTGGGTGTTTGCTGGTACAGCGGTTCCACATCGCCAGCCCAGCTGGGTGTGGCTCCGGCTTCCTCCAAACCTGATTCTGCTTCTTGAGTGTGTGCCTTATGTATGCGAGGAGTTGAAATCTGAATTCTGCTGGGCTGGGCTGCAAAAGTGCCGGTGGTTCCCTTTGTGCCACTGGCACAGCTTGGGTGGGGATGTAAATTGAGTAGGGCAGGGTCCCCGGGAATCACCAGGGTGGAGCAAGGGGCAATGGTGTCTCCTCGACTCCTCGCCTCTCCACGACTCTGCATCTCATGTCCCCAAGTGCTGGTGAGCAGCTCCGCAAGACAGCCACTCTCACTCTCCGGCCCATTGCAAAGCCGCGCCGCCTCTCCCCGTAGGGGTCTGGGACCTCAGGATCCCGCCCCAAACAAGCTCAGTGGACTCCAGAGTCTGCATCCCCTTCTGATTGAAAAAACCGCGCATCCAGTTGCAGCCTGCCTGGAGCATGACTCCGCACCTCTGTTCTTGGCAAATCACCAGGGCGGAGCAAAGGGCAATGGCATCTCCGCGACTCCTCGCCTCTCCGCGACTCCACGTCCCCGCGACCCCGAGCACTGTGGAGCAGCTCCTCAAGACAGCCACTCTCTCTCTCCGGCCCACTGCAAAGCCGTCCTGCCTCTCCCCGTAGGGGTCTGGGACCTCAGGATCCCGCCCCAAACAAGCTGAGTGGACTCGAGAGTCTGCAGCTCCTTCGATTGAAAAAAAACGCGCATCCAGTTGCAGCCTGCCTGGCACGCGACTCCGTACCTCCGTTCTTGGAGCCTCTGCACAACCTACTCAGTCTCAATGCTCTTCTTTCTTTCCTTCCAGTTGTAGAGCTTCCAATGGGCCAGCTTTCTCATGGTTCTGAATGATAGCTGTTTGTCTTATAGTTGGTAGTCTCGATGTTGTTGTGGGAGGCAGCATGCACAGGTCTGTACCTTACGTCGCCATCTTGGTTCTCCCTGAGTTTGTCTTTAACCAGAGATTTTACAATACTGTCTCTCCCTCACTCCACTCCACTGCGACTCACTGGCCTTTCTGCCAAGCACACATGTGCCACCTTATGACTTATGTACTGGCTGGTATTTGCCGAGCCTACACTCATCCCAGGTATTCAACATGGCTAATGGCCGCACCTTCAAGTCAGCTATTATCTTCTCAGTATCAATTTTAAACGTATTTAAAAATCACTTTATCCCACATGCCCCACCCCACTACCAGCCAATCACCCCTTAAACTGCTCTTTGTTCTTTTGTAACTTAGCATCTGCTACATATTATAGAACTTACTTATGCCCATCGTTTTTGTTTTGCTTATTGTCTTACTAGAGTATAAACCCCACTAAAAAAGAGACTCTGCTTTTATCATTAATGTATCCTAAGTACTTAGAACAGCATCTGACATTCAATATTTGTTGAATGAATGCAATGAGCACTTCCTGCCCTACCCATATCATAGAGTTTCTTGAGTATTAAATGTATAGCAAAGTGCTTGGGAAATTATAAAGCACTACTATACAAATGTAGTTATTATTGCAATAATGAATATCTGTTAAAACCACTTCTATGAGAAAATATTATGAGATCCTATACAAAGATACGAAAACTTGCCCTGTTTTGTTTTACCATTTACTTTTTTTTTTAAATACCAGACTCTTAAAGCCTTTCTTATTTATGCGTTTCCCCAACTAAAGGATTGGTTAAACAAGAAATAATAAAAAGGCAAAATTATGTAATTTTCTCCACAACACACTGAAGTGCTTTGTGACCTGTATCTGGACATTTTATACTAACGCCAGATCTGTCCTTTGAACTAACAAATCCTCTATTACTATTAGCATGGCCTAGAACAGGTGCTTTGTGATCCTATTGGCTTGTTCATGCTTGTTTCAACCTCAGGTCTAGAAAAGTGAAGTAATCTATGCTCCTGAATGATTTTATTTTGTCCTTTGCCTAATGTTAACTTTAGCAGAACCTATGATCTGTCAAACTTTACATCTATAACAGTCTTGATTAGGGCT